GTGATGCTGGAGCTCGGTGTGGACGGAGGCATTAGATGCGATGCCAGACGAGGAGCTGGAGTCACCCTCTTGGACCATGTGGATGGATCCTTCTTGGTAATCCTCAATCCGGATCATGTTGACGAAGTTGCGTGGCCTCGGCCGAGGTCGATGTACAAAACACAGATCCGAGTAGCGTTGTATATTATACGCGTAGTTGGAGGCAGCATTTCGCAGGCCGTAGGGCTAGGCCTGGTAGTTCTCCGTCGAGGCTTCGTACTCGGAGAGCCGGAGGCCTGTAGCGGAGGCTGGCCGGCGACGAGCGGAGCGCCCTTCAGGAGTAGATATGACCACGAGATCTGTACCAAGTCGTGTAAGACGACTGGCCCGAGCTGGTCGGGTAGATCTGTTGTGGGGAGTGGTTACCTGCTCATTAGGTTGACTTTGAATTGCACTTACCAGAGCTAGGGTTTCAGCGAGTTTGGTGCCGACCCGATCGATGGAGTCGAGCAGGTCGGTGTTGTTGATCTGCTTCCCTTTGTAGCGGGGAAGCGGACGACGGGTTGTCGGCGTGGCTGAAGATGATGCAGGTGTGGTCGGAGCCAGATGTACCGTGGTCGGAGCCAGATCCATTGTGGTCGGAGCCATATCCACCGTGGTCGGAGCCGTATCCAAGCTGGTCGGAGCCGTAGCCGATGCAGGTGAAGCAGTGGTCGACGCAGATTGAATCCGCGCCTCCTCCGTAGTCATGGCGATGAAATCGTCGGAGCCGGTGGTCCAGGTGATCTGGCTGATGGTGAACGTGAGGTCGTTCGGCGTAGCCACGGAGCCGGAGATGATGACCATCTTGTTTGCTTGGAGAGCAGTACGCACACCCCCTACCTGGCGCGCCACTGTCGACGAAATATGGTCGGCAGTCTACCTAGGGGTATGCCCAAGGTAGTAGATTGTCGGCAGACAGATGCGCAAGCCACAAACAAGACGGTGACGCAAGACAGACACAAAGTTTTATCCAGGTTCGGCCGCCAAGAAGGCGTAATATCTACGTCCTGCGTCTGATTGTATTGTTGTATGTCAATGAGAGATGTTTTTGAGAGGGGTCCCCTGCCCGCCTTATATAGTCCGGGGGCAGGGTTACAGATCTGAAAACTAATCCTAGCTAGTTACAATTGCCATAGGTGGCCGGATAAGGATTCCTATTCTAACCGACCAGGATTTTGCTTGATCGCCAAATCTGTCTTAACTCCTTGCGCGGGACTCCGAACAGGTTGGCCGGGCCGCGCGTCGTCTTTTGGTGGACCGGACCCTCTGATCCGGCCGGCCCAAGCCTAGCCGTAAGGGTTTAGGGGTTAATACCCCCACACCCTGTCAGTCGGTGCAACCCCAAAAAAAATTCTCTGTTGGTTTTTTATTTTCCCTATCAACTTGTAACCATCAGAAAAAAATACATTTTCCTCTCGGTGCTAATTTCCATAACGTCGTCGCTGAACCATCAGAATAATTGTTCCCTGTCAGTGTTAAACCACCAAGAAATCTACAACACATAGAAAAATGGTATAATAGCCTTTCCTATATAATTCAAAAAACAAATATACTTAATATAATATACACAGAATCATGGAGATATACCAACAAAAATACAATACACAATCATGGATATATAGATAGATAGATTAGTCCAACATAAATCCATTATATACAAAGATGTCTTGTTATTTGCATCAACATAGATAAAGATGTCCAAACATTTGGCACCCATCTGCCCAAAATAACTTCTCCAAAATTATAAATTACATTTACCATGTCAGTTTACGCAATAACCATTAAAAAAATCAAAACCGTAAGGGAATTTCTGCTTTCCACTAGTGAATTACTTGCTGTCATGTACAACAAGCTCAGCACAAAATTATAAATTCTGCCGAAAAACCGCCTTGATCTCAAACCGGGCAAGAACAAGATGTGGACGCGCTAACCTCCAATGATGAAGCCCTGCAGTTTGCCTCAAAATGCGGTTCGTGCAACTCATCCGGCCTTTGCATGTGCACGCAGTACCTTTTATCCATCAGATCAGATTGTCAGAATGCCAATCCAACCTACCTTGCAGTACCTTTTTTTCATCCTCTCCATCAGATCAGATTAAATGTAGTAAAAAAAATAACTAATTACACAGTTTAGTTGGAAATCACGAGATGAATCTTTTGAGCCTAGTTGGTCCAACCTATTTGCCAAAATAAGATTTAAAGTGGTTTTTCATCCGGCAAAAATTTAAACACAAGGCCCTACAAATCTTTTTGGCAGGAATTTAACACTATTTTGTTTGTATGTGCCACTCATCTACTCAGAAGCTACATGTGAAGATCAATATATAATATCTCTCAACTGGTACATATCATTGTTGTCGTCATCGACCACAAGATTACAATCCAGAAATGATTGTGCTTGCATCACGCGTATTATTAGACTAATCAACCGCACATCAGAACGAAATGATTCTTTTGACCATAGGTTAATTATTACTCCATTGGTTTCAAATTGTAAGTCGCTTTGATTTTTTGGTTCATCCATTTTGATATGTATCTAGACATATTATTATATCTAGATGCATAGTAAAATAAATGTACCAAAAAAATCAAAGCGACTTATAATTTAGAACGGAGGGAGTATAACGCAAAGAGTAACAGGAGGATCTATTATAAAATGGCCGTGTGACTCGTGCAGGCATTATTTAAGACTACCAATATCCCGTTAATATTATTGGCAAAAAAACATCCCATTAATATTTGGATAAAAAACAAGATAATTATTAAAAAAAATAGCCGTGTGACTTGTCGCGCATCAATAGTTCATTCATAGATGTACATTAATTTGTTTTAAAAGTTCAAATTCAAACTCGGTATTAAAAATTTAGTGTGCAAATGACAGATTTCAGCTACACTGAAAGACAAATTTTCTTATGATCATAGAGAAAACAAGACCATAATCACCTTTTTCTTTGGATCACCCACCAGTATTTGCAAGGCAAATTGAGTACCGACTCACTGCCACAATATGCGCTCAGCACAAATTATATACTCCACACCAACATTTAATTTCCAAAATAAAAACAGTCTTATCTCAAACTGGGCGAGGACAAAATAAATGGACGCTCCAACCTCCTCCAATGATGAAGCCAGTTCGTACAACTCACGCGCCCTTTGCATGTGCCAACTTGTGAAGATCCTTATGTGTATATCTATTAACTAGTATCATCTCATTGTTGTCGTCGTCGATAAGATTGCAATCAAGAAATGACGGTGCTTGCATCACACGGATTATTAGACTAAACAACCGCACATCAGAACGAAATGATTCTTGTGATCGTAGACAAACAAATAATCGAACTTACATGTTTATTGGTCCATATATATGTGTGTTGCTTGATTAATAATTATTAAATATAACTAATGACTAGCTACCACTACCATATGCATCTATGTGAGGCACATTGCTAGCTAGTCCAGGTACATGACCACCCTTAAATGACTGAATTTGTTGGCAGTGTTGCTGCTAGTTGGAGTTGAGATTGCTCTTGCGTAGCTTGCGCTCATCAGAAAGTTTCTTGGCGAAGTGCGCTAGCGCCTCTGCATTTGTGCCCTCGCTGCCACAGGGCTCGTACACCCCAGTGTCGATGTTGACTCTCGCCACTGGCTTCTTGAGCAGCTCCTGGCCGATCCCGATCAGAGACTCCATGTTCTCCTTGGTGGCGATGTCCACTGACGATGTGTCCCCAGTCAAAGTATCATCCTATATACAGTCATACAGTAGCATCGATCATCGTCGATTTTATATCAAGAACAGAATATATATGCTTTAGGGGGTGTTTGGTTCCTACAGGAAAATTTTAGTCCCTATCCCATCGGATGTTTGACACATGCATGAAGTATTAAATATAGACGAAAAAAATAACTAATTGCACAGATTATGACTAATTTGCGAGACGAATTTTTTAAGCCTAATTAGTCCATGATTTGACAATGTGGTGCTACAGTAAATATGTGCTAATGGTGGATTAATTAGGCTTAATAAATTCATCTCGTAAATTAGTCTCCATCTGTGTAATTAGTTTTATAATTAACTCATATTTAGTTCTCCTAAATAACATCCGAACGTCCGATGTGACATGGACTAAAATTTAGTCCGAAACCAAACACCCCTGTAGTATATCCTACAAACGTATCATACCTGAATGCGAAGGTAGTTCTTCTCACAGTGCAGGGCCTGGAAGAGCACGGCCGCATGGATGTCAACCATGTCAGAGCTAGCATGGGAGAAGATGTCGATGATCGGAGTGAATCCACCGTTGTAGAGCCACTGAATGAGGCCCCATTTCGCGCACTGCGGCGCGGTGTACTTCTCGGCCTGCTTGGCCGACCCCGTCCCAACGGAATGATGAGGTAGTTCGTTACTCGGTGGCCTGCCGGTTGAAGTCCGGGTTGCGGCGGAGCACTCCTGAAGAGCATGTGGCGACCATGGTGGGGTTGGTGGCGCCACGCCGCCGTCGACGAGGTGGAACTCCTGGGACCTGCCATCGGTGGCCTCGGTCTTGAAGAAGTGCGCGGGGAAGTAGGTGCGCCGCCGACGTTGATGCAGATGTCGAGGGTGTTCTTGAGGGTGTCGTTCTTGGCCTCGTACGTGGAGAAGATGATGGGCTGCAGGTACTTCACGTCGAACGCCGGCACGATGATGTTGGTGACTGTGTCCGCCACCTTGACGTCGTGCGTGAGGCCCTTGATCTTGTCTTGCAGGAACACGCCGTCGTACTTGGGACCCCTCACCAGGCCCAGCAGGTTCCTCACCGGCGTCAGGAACCCAGCCCTGCAGTGCACCACCAATATCAGGAATGAGGAGTTAGTGGAAAGATGCCATGCGACTTGTTGTACTTCTCGGCCTGCAGGACACGAGGAACAGGTGCAAGAACGAAAGTGACAGCCACCAACAAAGGAAGGAAGAACAGATGGATGAACAGAACGGCGTTTCTATACTTTTTCTGTGGGAAGATGTTGGGGCCGTTCTCGAGGTAGAACGTGGTGAGGTCCTTGGCAGCGAACAGCGGCCGGTTGTTCTCGTCGGGCGCCGCCAGCATCGACGTGAGCAGGGCGCCGGTGCTCGTCCCGGCGATCACGTCGAAGTAGTCGGCGATCCGAGCATCTGGGCCGTCCAGCTCCTGCAAGTCAAATACTCGAATCACATCACATGCAGCCAGTCAAAACTGGTGCTACTACACCGGCCAGTGACTAGTACGTAGTTATACCTGGAGCCTGGCCTCGAGGTATGTGATGATGGTCGCCGGGATGAGGCCGCGGATGCCGCCGCCATCGATGCTCAGAATCGTGATGAGCTTCCCTGTCGACGGCGGTGGCTGTGGCACGGTGGCGCAGTTGGCCGTGCTGTTGCTCCCCATGTGTCTGAAACTTAACTGGATATAAGAGATCGACCAAGTAGCTAGACTAGAAGAGAATCCAACGAAGGAGTAGTGCTCCTTGCTTCGGTAGGTGTAGGTGTGCTTCTTGGATAGATCTTGTGCTCTGAATCCACAGGCTATAGCAGGCTATATATATTCCTAACATGGTCACAAGAGTATGAATGGTGAAAATGACAGGTTTTGGCTCATCAGCTTGCAGCTGCACGTTTTCCTCACATGCTTTTCCCACGTTTCGAGTTCCTGCTGGCTGTGTGACCTTGGAATAGGGTTGATAAGGACGAGAAGAAAGTTTTACAGAATGTGATTGCTTCCGATGTGGATGATAGTCAAACTTTGTTAGGTTTCCGTACTCGTACGTCTTGCATAAGAAATGACAACTCGCGGTTAATACCTCTGGGTACAAATAATAATGTTTCGAGATACAGAAAGATAAAGCAATATATCTAGGACACTGCTAACGTACTCGCCTATCGAGAATCTGACCTATTAAACAACACAGATCGAGAGGGTTTTCTCTAAAGTATTTATATGTTGGCAGTACCATTAATAATCTTGCCTAGCAGCCTGTACTAGAAAACAAAACTCCATATATATTCTGTACTGAAGTTTGAGGAGGACAGCTTGCAAGTATATATGTTATTATTCTTAATAAAAACTTTATCCCTGCGCCCTATGTTTGCTTATGGAGATTGTGATCTACGGAGTACCATAAAACGTGCTCTCTAAGAACAAGCACATAATCCGCACAATGTCAAGTGGCACTAGTTGAGAAATTCCTACTGTTAAATTATCTAGTTTAATTCGCAAAAAAAAAATCAAGTTTAAACAGTACACATTATTTGTGGTGACTCGTGAGGCTACACCGTTGCAGATAGTCATGATTGCCTCTGCATGTTGTACGGTCCAGTATAAATTTTTTAAGTATATCCATGAATTCCAGCTCAATGAATTTTTTAAGTATATGAGGAGATGCATGAATAGTGCTTGAAGGTGACTTCCAAGAGACGACTGATAATCCGCACATGTCAAGTGGCATTAGTTGAGAAATTCCTACTGCTAATTTTATCTAGTTTAAACAGTACACATTTGTCCTGACTCATGAGGCTACACCATTGCAGATAGTCATGATTGCCTCTGCATGTTGCACGGGTATAGTATAAAATTTTCCTAAATTTTTCATGCATATCCATGAATTCCAGCTCAACGTTTTTGTCGCATACACGAGGCTGAGAGGAGATGCCTGAACAGTTTTTTTTAGGCAAGATGCATGAATAGGCTAATCAACTTGAAGGTTACTTTGGAGAGACGACTGACGAGAGCGTGAGGATAGAAACACAAGACTTAATTATGCTAGCTAGCGTCACATTACCAACTAAATAATTGTGTTCTTGTCTCCTAGTTTGACCTCATTTAACTTGCTCTTTACTGACTACATTTTAAGATTTTTTTTTGTGCCTAATTTTGTGTAGCCTTTGTCTTTTCTAGATTAGCTTAGGTAATGGACAGAATTGGCTCGAGACTGCAAAACTCTTGTGGGTTGGGTAGGTAGATAGAGCGTACAAAAAAACACTAAGTCATATAGGTAGTTTATGTTTTTTCTACGGGTAGTTTATGTTTTTTCTATTGAAGTTCATGTACGGCTCAGGAATTAAGGCCACGTTTGGTTGGCCTCATATCCTTCAGGGATCGGAGCTATAAATTGTGGCTTCTCTTGTCTCCGCATTTAATCTGTGAGGAAAGCAAAAAATATTCTATAAACAGTGTTGCTACAGTATCTTCCTCGCTGTTTGCTGCTGCCGAACTTGCAATCACTTTTGGAACCAGCTGTGATAGAGTATCACTGCAGGTCCGTGGTTTCGACCGCCTGGTTAGTGGCTCCAACCGGCAGTGATAGTCCATCTATCATTGCTGGTTCATGGCGTGAATTGACAGTGATAATTATTATATAAAAAAATCATAACTTTTTGTGATAAGATTTGATTAAAATAAGGAAAAAGTGCATTTTTGCCCTTTAACTATGGCTACAGTTCGTTTCTAGCCCTCTAACTCAAAAACCAAACACGTGCAGTCCCTTAACTCTCAAAACCGTTTAAAATTAGCCCTCGTAGCCATTCATCCGTGGTTTCGGCCCAGTCAACCCGCCACGACCGTGGTTTCGGCCCAGTCCTCATCCCTTCGCGACTACCGCGCGGTCAACGAGCAAGAGCAGAGAGGGAAGGAGAGAGAGAGAGCGCAGGGCGGAGCAGAGGGGCAGAGGGCACTGGGGCACCGACGGTGGTCTGGGGCCTCGGCGGAGCAGGCTCCGGCGTGAGCTGGGCGGCAACAGAGGTCGCATCCACCCCTCCCTCTCTAGAAGCCTCTAGAAACTTCTCCCACCGCTCACCTGCGACCCGTCGTCGCCATGGAGCCCGACGCCGCATCGCCGAGCTGCTTGACATGGTCGCAGCCTCCCATGAGCACGCGCGCGAGGCGGTCCGCCATGGCCGGCTTGGAGGCCACGATGGCAGCCTCCTCCGCACATACGAGTGCCGCCATCCTCTTGGTGAAGCCGATGTGGGGCTCCTGCTCACCGCCACCGACGTCGGCGAAGAAGTCCTCGAAACGCCTGCTCCTCCCGGTGCGTCGAAACACCTGCTCCTCCCGGCACAGAGGCGGACGCAGCAAGGATGGTGCGTAGAGACGCCTGCTCCTCCTCGGTGACAGCAGCAGCGGCTAGGCCAGGCCAAACCCTTCACCAGGCCACCCCGATTGCTGCCACAGCGGACATGGCAGGCTGCTATCCAATTTGCTGCTGCCGTGCTTAGCCTCCTATACTCATGGCGGACATGCCGGGGAGGCGCTAGCCTGCTACACTCATTGTAGGCTGCTATCCAATCTGCTCCTGCCGTGCTCCTCCTGCTTGTCGCCTTCAAGCTCCGACTTCGAGCCACCACTCCCTTTGTTCCTCCGCAACAGAGCACGAGTAGCATAGCCGCCGCTACTGTCGACAATGGCGGAGCCCAAGTCGTCCAAGAGCAGCCACGACAGGGCTGGCGGGGTGGCGTCCAAGAAGTCCAAGTCCAAGTCCAGCAGCGCCGCCGCGGCCACGCCGGGGACGTTGGACGCGCACTTCGCGCCGTGAGCGGACGTCAAGGGCCTCTGCTTCGGCGCGCAGCTCGTCACGCGGGTCGCTAGAGCTCCCGCACCTCCTCCGCGCCACGCCCTCCCTCACCCTTTCCCCCACCAGTGCTGGCAACGCCACCACGAATGCGCTATCGTTAGCGCCTCGACGCCCGCCCTACCCACACGGCTGCTCGATGCCATGGAGCTCCGGCTACGGTCGCTGGACGCTGTGGAGGTCCGGTCACGGCCTCGACCCCCGCCCTCCCCGTGCAGCTGCTCGATGCCATGGAGCTGTGGCTGCGGCTGCTGGACGCCGTGGAGGTCCGGTCGCGGCCTCGACGCCCGCCCTCCCCGCGCAGCTGCTTGACGCCATGGAGCTCCGGCTGCGGCCGCTGGATGTCGTGGAGGTCCGGTCGCGGCCTCGACGCTGAAAGGTCCTTGTTTGGTTTTGGTAATTGAGTGACAACTTAGGTGGACTAATTGTGTTTATGTGAGATACACAGGTGATTAGTCCACAGGTACATGTGTGTGAGCAACATATGCCATGAAGGTGAAAATGGCTTGGAAATGTTGTAAAGCTCACACATGTGATGATGAAGGAGCTTATTGCACATGAGACATGACATTGAGTCATGTGATCAAGGTGGAGAAGATCAAGACAAGACTTGGCTTGATGGACCGGTTGCAAGCGTGAAGGGCAAGTCGAAGGCTTTGGAGTGATGGACCGCGTGGCGGTGAAGCTTGAGCAAGACTTGGCGCCGATGAACGATGGCAACGATGAAGAGCAAGTAGAGTCAAGATCGATGAACCAATATGATCATGTGATGATATGAAGTGGATCATATCATTGTTGATCATGTTGGTGCATGTGTTGCATCGACATTGAAGGAGATGGAATGGAATGCGCAAGGCAAAGGTATAACCTAGGGCATTTCATTCCACCGGTCATAGGTGTGTAGAGAAGTTTATGACTGGGTTTAGGATAGATGGCCGTACTATCAAGAGGGGCAAACTTGTTTGCATATCGGTCATCTAGTGCCACTCGAGTGATCTAACTTTGCATTGTCACTAGGATCGAGTGGCGTGGCAAGTTGAGTGGCTAACATCCTTTGGGAAATGATTGTGAAAAGCTAACACACATACACATAGTGGTGTACTCTTGGTGGTGTTGGCACATTTACAAAGGAGGTGGTGTTCGCAAGCTCGGCGGGATTCGGCGCTTTCGGGAAAATGGAATGCCTATTTTCTATTGCGCCGGATGCAAATTCTTGGTGGTTAGCACATTTGAGCAAGGGTGAAGAAGTTAGAGTGAAAACGAGCTGATCGCGAAGACGCTAGCGTCGGTCAACTGACCGGACGCTGGGTCTGAATGCACCGGACGTTGGCTGGCTGCGTCTGGTCAGGCTGACGTACGATGACGCAGAAGCTGGAGTGTGACGGGACGCTGGCTGCGTCCGATCAAGTGTGACCGGACGCGTCCGGTCGAGGTCGGTACCTTACTGGAAACGACCGGACGCTGGGGGTTCAGCGTCCGGTCAGTTGCAAGCTGCTACGTCCGGTCAAGTCAAGTGACCGTTAGAACCGGGACATGTGGCCATCTGTGGGCGACCGGACGCTGAGGTCTAGCGTCCGGTCAACACGACCGGAGCGTCCGATCGACCCGATTTTTACCCAGTGAAGGGGTAACGGCTAGTTTAGCCTTTGGGGTTATAAATAGAAGTGGCCCTCGGCCATGGCTGGAGCTGAGCACCTTGGGGGACTTTGTGTCCATGCTTGAGAGTGCTTGGGAGCCCTCCATCTCACACATACTTGATAGTGATCATTCGATTGTGTGAGTGATTCTAGTGCTGTTGCATCGTGAGGTTGCATCGAGTGGC